TGTGTTCTACTGCTCTCTCACTAATCTTTCTCCTCTTTCTTCTTCACTTTCTCTTCTGTTCGAACCTGAAATTCCTTGGTGTCCAAGACTGATAGCAGTCTTGATCATCTTCACTTATAAATAATCACTAAGAAATTTGGAAAATTTTAAAAATTAGGGAGATATTCTAAAAACATGGAACTAGTTAATAAAACCTTCAAGGAATCATTAGAAGTATAATCACATATTTAACACCCAAAAAACAATAGCAAACAATTGTATAAGTAATAAGAAAAGACTAAGAGATTTAAATAGGTATCTTTCTCTTTGTCTCCCTTTTATTCTTTTAGCCATCTTCTCTTCATTATTTGTGTCATTTACTTGCCATTTTGAGTTTTATCTTTTTTCTACTATATGTTTTGATTAGATTGAGAATCCTCTTTTGTAATTGTGTGCCTTTATATCTTTTTTCTTCTAAAGTATAATAGCTTGTTAATTGAGTATGTCTTGGAACCGTGAACGTTTATTGACTTAACGTTTTGTACTTGATTTGTTTGGAAAACCGAGAAAAGCAATGACGAACCCATTTATTGACACTTAGGCCCCATTAGGTGTCACATCAACAAAACAGTGAATAAACGCCTACACGTTTGGGAAAGCACTAAAATGAAGCTTCCCCCAACGGTAGGCGCGCACATAAACCAAAGTCTACTTTGCAAGTCCCTATGCATACGGATTCACATAATGGGGGAAATGCTGAAGTGGCACCTATGTGGCAGCATTTATTCAATAAACGCCCACGATTCCAAACACATGCTGAATCATAACAAAATAGTAAGCCAGTCATCCAAATCACCAAATCCCTTTTTTGAATAATTCTTTAAGGAAAAGAGCATCATTAAAATACCACTGAAAAAATCGGATTCTTTAAGGAAAAGATTTTTAAAAATTTAAGATTTTAAGCCTTCAATATAAGGAAAAGAACACCATTAAAATATCGCTGAAAAAATATTATTCTTTAAGGAAAAGATTTCTAAAAAATTAAGATTTTAAACCTTCAAAATATATAAATATTGTTGAAATAATAGAGATAATAGGAAAAAATATTCTTGAAAGTTTTGTATCGCAACCTAGCAAAATGGGGAAGCATTCCAAATCTTCCCGATATTGCAAATCATGGTTAAACAATCAACCACTGGATTCCAGTTGAATTCTCCTAGTAATATTGCATGTCAACTCTATATTTTGATTTTATTTTTTTTTTTTTTTGTTCAATGTGGAAACATTTCTTGTGTCACTACTCACTAGAAAAGCCACCCATCCTTAAATTATTTGATATTCTATTTATTGTCTGAATTTCATTTCCTATGTTCATGCCAAAACCCAATATGAAATTGTGAATTTGTGATTTGATCAAGGTTTGTCCAACACCATTGAGAACATCTTATATGAATATAAAAGAATATTTGTAACTAGAAACTTCTCTTTCCATGCTTATTTGAACTCATTGGGAGAAATTAATAACTAAAAGTCCCACCGATGGTAGACATACCATGAAGTACATATATGGAAAGAGTGATGAGATTGGCAAAGCTGGAAAAGGTAGACCAAAAACAATAAAGCATTAGGGGATAAATAGGAAAAGCAATATGGAAAGTTAATCAGACTGATGATAAGGATAAACTAAATTAAAAAAGATCAAATATGGCGTGCCGTAAACAAAAAGATAAGAGAATCACCTATAATCATATTGCGAAGATAACCCATAATAAGTTCCTAAAGGTTGTCTATTAGGCTGGAGTTAAGGACCATAAAACAAGGACAGAAAATCAAACTTCATAATTTAAGCTTTCAAATAAATTTTCATTTATAATAAAAGGAAAACCTTAAGCTCCAACATTTATCAAGGAATCAACATGAAAAGAGGGAAAAAGCATTAAAACCAAGCAAGAAAAAAAAAAATATTTTTTTTCATGAGGGAGCAAGCAATAGTCATGAAATAGTTTTTATGCTTCTGCAGCTCTGCTATTATGGTATTGTCAATATCATTCCTACTGGTTTGTAAGATATTACAACATGTTCTTTAATGACTACATGATCAAACCAGAGTCAAATTTCTTCATAACAGTTGAAAACAACCCACTTGATGTATGGAACTGTTTGAGATTAGATGCAAACCAGAAAATAAACAAACAAGAGAGGAAGAGAAGAGAGAGCTAGCGGCAATTAGAGAGTAAGATATTCGAACATAACCTCACTCTAACACTCTAAACATCTTATTAATAAGTTAATCTTTGACAAATTACAGAGAGACCCTTGAGAGGGCAGGAAAATACAAAAACAGAACATTACAGAGTATGTGCCCAGAATGAGGCCCACAACAGAGAGAAACATAACATAACATGAAATGACAGTCTATGGGCCATTTGGCCATCTTCTCTACAATAACATTGTAGAGGAGGCTTTCAATATCCACATTCATGATAACATTGTGTATATTATTGCTAAGTTGGAGCAACTAATTAAACTCATAGACAGTCATTTCAACAATCACCATCCAAGGACACCTCTCCCTAATTAAAACTACAATTTCAGTGGAGCCAAACTCTTGTGCAAAATTAGTAAAATGAAATATAGAAAGACATTCTTTTCTTTTCTTATCAGAAATGTGGCATGTATAAGAAAGATAAATTAACATGGATAAAAGATGATAGAATAGTCTTACAATGAAAAACATAGATATCTCTATGTTTATTAAATTCAATCAACTGAACCTAGTGACAATGGGATTTGATCCCAAGCCTCTATTGCAACCAGACAAAGAACTTACCAACTGAGCCACCATTGGCAGGTTAACTTGCACAGTTGGACCCCTAACTAGGATAAGGCTTTTTTGAGTTGAGTTGAGTTGTAGTACCAGTATTGGAACTGTTAATCAGCACACTAACAATGTAATATAAACTTAAACATTCCAAGGATACAAAATTTCTGGGTACTTGCAACACTAAAAGATCTTTTTGTAACTTTAAGTGGTGTTTCAAAAGACTTGAAGTTCCTTTCCTACTTGTTAGAGAAAAAATAATAACTCTTTCCATACTTGAAATTTAGCACATCAGTTAGATTTTTTGGTAAAAAGTGAACATGGAACATCAGTTAAATTCAGTATTCCATATTTCATGACAAAATTCTTTTATATCATTCTGTTGAAATATGTTACTTCGTGATTCAGTTCTTCCATCAAGGGTAATTTAGTCCTCTCTTGCAACTAAAACTTGCTTACAGCATTGTGATAAAGAGCCATTACACAATGTTGGTCCTAGCTACCTTTGGCATTTTTTGCACAATGGCAGCCCTCACACTGGAATCCGTTTTCTCATTCTTGTCGGCCCAAGATTTTACCATTGCACCAAGCAATAGCACCTACTTACAACATTATAATGTTAAGTTCAGGCAAAATTAAAACCATAAACATGAGAACACATCCTAAAAATACCCAATGAAGATAATGCTTCTTCCCCTCAATTGAGTAAGGTTTTGTTCCTTTCATCTCTCTACACAGTTGACCATTACTTGATTCACTAAACAAATTTATAAAGAAAATCAATTATAATATGAGATTACTTTTGGCACCGTATCCAGCTGGAGCAAGTCAATAGAATGGATGGCTTTTCCTAATAAAGATCATAATTGCAGTTACCTAACTTCAAAAGGGGAGGGAAACACTATAAATAATTCAATTGTAGCAATGCTGGATAGCAAAAGAACGAACAAAAAAAAAAAAAAAAACAAAGAACAGATAAAAAAACGTTACCCAATGTTGGTCCTGGCTATCCCGCATCTTGGGAGGAGTGGACTTCGAGGTAATTTTTGGCATCTTGTACACAAAGTGGCCGCTCTCATACTCAAACTCACGTTCATCGACCGAACGCATAATGCACCAATAACAGAATGGTGCTTTATGGAATGTCAGGTTTTTGCGATATAATGAGGTAATATTTACTGTGAATGCATGCTGACTGTCAGCCCCAAGGCATTCAGTTAGGAAGGAAGAAGCGCCGAAGTTATTTTTCATCTACTCTTCGGGAATGATTGTTGGTTGTTTGCTAAATCTGACCTCCATAATTGTCATGCCATTATGAAGATTCTAAATCAATTCAGTATCCTATCAGGCCAAGCAATCAATAATAAAAAATCCCAAAGACCCGCTGTCCGCTCTCAAGGATTTTCAGGATTATAATTGGAAGGGCCACAGAAAATGTCTAGGGCCCCCTGCTGGGAAATCACAATTGAAAGTGAAGCCCTCTTCTCTTGGAAGCGGTTGGAAGGGCTCTCTGCCGTCGCACACAGGGAAGAAAGTTCAGATGGAGACATGGAGTAGCCATTGCTAACCTTGACCCTGCCTATACTGTTTCATTTCAAGCTCATGGAGGATCCCCGTAATTGCATTAATGGTTAATTGGCCGGCCTCCGAGGCTCCGGGAAGAAGGATGACAAACGAAAGATCCATGGGAATAACAGAGCACGACTCTGTCATAACCTTCAAGATTTCATCACTGCTCTATTAAGACTGCAGTATACTCGAACTAAGTGACCAACCGTCAGTGTTTGCAGCGAATCCGACGCCGATCTCGACAGCATCTACTGCAAACATGGCGTGTAAAATAGGCTACGTAAGCAATCCGAGGTCGACTGCCGGCGTAAAAAGAGCGGGATTCGGAGCCCAGAACTCGGATTTGAAACTTACAAAACGGTCCTCACACCGTCCTCACATCCCTTGCAGCTGTACATTTAGAATATCTCCATATTTATAAAAACTCCAGATCTGCTACTCACAAAATCGTCCTACATCTATACCCTTAAACACCATTGCCTGTAATCGGAGCATCAACGCATGAGTGAAAATTTTCTGACAGTCAACTAAAATAATAAACGTGATAGTAAATCAGGTGTTATTTATCAAAATTTACCAATGGGTTTTGATTGACCAAAAATCTTCTAATATCATATCTTTCTCCGTATCATAAATTTCCCTTTTATTTAAATATATATATATATATATATTAAATACTATATAATATAAAATATTTTATATTTTACATTGCTATAGGCCTGTAAGCATGACCTAAGCCTAAGCCCATATTTCAGGCCCAGGGTCAGTGCCTAGGCTAGGATCCTTATAATTGGTGCTAAGCTGGACTTGGCTCATGAGCACCACTAGGATTTACTATGGTTCATAACGGTAATATGAGGTGTGTTTTTTCTCACCAAGTATCAGCCAAGCATGCCAACATTTTAGAACTAGCAAATGTCTTGATAGCAAGCAACACTCACAAATGGGCCGAGTTATATTGGGTTCAACCCTAACTCAACCTAAGGTTTTGAACCCCTAACTCTAACTAAAAACAAACCGACCTTCAACTCAACTTAATCAATCTTAATCCCAACCCAACTTAAAATTCTTCAACCTTAGTCCAGCCTAAAGTTGACTTGAGTTGGGCCCAGTCCAACCATTCTCCCATTTTCTTAAAATCTTGTAAAATCTCTCAAATTGTTTTGGTCTAAGAGACCTAAATTCAACTTTCATTATCATAAATTGATCATACTTTTATTGGCATTTTATTGTTTGACGTATTTATTGATTTTTTATTATAAAAATAAAAAAGAAACATGTCAAATAATATGACTATTATGAATTATGATAGATCTTATCAAAAATATGAAATTATAAAATCAACAATAATAAAGAAAAATTATGGAATGAAAATCACCAATGACAACTTGTCATTAGGGTTAAAGGTTCAAAGTTAAGATGGATGGATTTTGATAATATGCGATAGGAGGATAATACATGTATATTAGTAATAATAGATTTGGGTTCAGGTTGCTCGAGGGGTCAAACCTAACCCAACTCCAACCTAACTTTTCAGATTGGGTTTGGGCTAACCAGCTCAAGTTGCAGCCATATTACCATCCAAAGTTTAAGGTTAAGGCTGCTGAAGAATTTCAACTACATGGGTCTTAGGGTTTGGGTCCATTGAAATTTTGTCAAATTCCCAGCCCAATCCAACATGTTTGACTAGATTCCACCAACAAGATAGATTCCAATACCCTTCTTCCAACATGATCTAATTAGATCACATGACATCATCGGAAGATGTTCTCAATACACGGCGGGAATATGCTGTGGGGCGTTGTGAGGCGAAGATATGAACTCTGATCTAACACTCCACATCTCATACATGGCAGGTCCCAATTTTATGATGAGTTATAATCTCATGGTAAGATGTGCCTTTATCAGATAATGTTGGAAAGGTGTTGGAAGGTATTTTATTGGCAGGAGATCCCAACATTTTTTACCACCCTTGCTATTGGCTCCAAGGACCAGGATAGGATCTCGGAGCTGCTGCAACAATGGTAACACAACTTGCAACCGCCCAATAAAAACACAAACATCATTTGCATTTATTTTTACTTCAAAACACTGAATGATTTGTTATTTGTCAAAAAAATTGTTGGACTATGATTTTAATTTATACTAGTGGCACAGTTTGAAAAGAGCATAAATACAAAAATATACAGTACAAATACGTAAAAAAAAGTCCAAATTGAGCCACCACGACTATAATTGTATCGGATTTGGATTGGACCAGCTATACATGTCGAATTATAAGAAGACCAAATTCGTAACTTCATAGGTCTCATATTCGGATTTAGGTCCCATAGGTTTTTCAGAATTTTGGGTTTTATTCGAGTCCGTTTCACCACCTTCATAATTAAAGAAGATTATTATGAATCAGGTCATAGATTTGGGTTTTGGTTGGGTCCAAGCCCAGGCTATAGCCCTTACAAAAGGTGTTAAACCTAGATTGGATTAGGCTATGATGACCCGCAATGATAAATTTTACTAAACCATGTGCCTGTTTGTAGAGGCTTTCATTAGGGATGCAATCGAGTTGAGTTGAATCGAGCTTGAATAACTAATCGAGCTTAGCTTGACATTTGAACTTGGTTGGAATTGAACTTAAACTTGAGTTACTCGATTAGAGCTTGGTTAGATTGCATCCCTAACTCATCATTGCAAGATAAGCCCCGCATGGAAAGCTATGAAATTATACTTAGGAAAAAAAAACCCGAAAACCAAAAATAAGCTTAAACGAGCTGAGAAATCTATTTTTGATAGCTTAGCTTAATCAACATAGAAGCCCTCCCAAATGGGTCCTCTCTCTCATAGTCTCACATAGATAATTGGACTTCCATCTTAATTGAATCTAATGGGTCAGATCATCAGATCCGGTTATCAAAGAGATGCAATTTTTAAAATAAGAACCCGATCCATTTATGTAAACAGATTAGACAGAAATAATCAAATCGGACTATAGCCCCATATGGTGATGCCCTGGTTTTTCATGGTAGGAGCTTCAAGAGAACGGAAAAATCCTGCCATTCTATCACTGTCCAACTATTATTAGGACATGGACACAACCAAGGTCGAAGCATTTTCTCAACGGTCAATAAATACAAACATGATGGAGACGGAATTTAAAAAATAAAAGCAGAGAATTCGGTCTTCTTAATTCAAAACAAAGATACTGTGCAAGGTGCAAATCAGCTGGTTGCTAAGGTCTCGTGTTGGTCGTTGCAGAGATTTGGAATTCAATCTCATATGCACCTGGGTTTCGGGGTATTTCCACATCTGAGTCTGAATTGATTGATGGAATTTCATGTTAGGCTGTATTTGGAATCGGTGTAAATTAAGAACGATGTAAAAGTTTACACCGGTTAGATTTTGTTCAAGTTTGGTGTAAATTAAGAAAGAGCTATGCCTAACCACACAGTTACTGTGAAAAATCTGATGTGAACAATCACATTTTAAAATATGGTATAAAAATCGTGTGAACAATCACAGCCCTCAACCTCTTAATTATTAACTCTAACGTATACTAGTATATAATATAAATATGGATGTAATTCAGAAAAAATTCAGTCTCTAACCTCTGAGAAATCACAGTTCATTTGGTTGCCTCACTGATCGGATAGTAGTTGAACGTGGGAAGATGTATTTTGAGCAATTCAAGAGATATCATTAAAGAACAAGTCTGGATTAAATTAACCCACTCACCGGTGCAGAGTGATACAACCCAGATATACAAGAACTTCTTGTAAGGAATTTGTTGCTGCGACTCCTTCAGCCGATCCACCTCGCAACCTGGGCAGCCATTGTAGTACACCTTTTTCAGAAGAGTTTCTCTGTTCTCCGCCATTAATGCAAGCTCAACGAAGAGCTAACAGTGTCTCAAACTCAGAAGTTGCCGACAATTTCTCTTGTTTAGTACTGAGCGTACGTAGCATAAAAAAAAGCAGTGCACCACCCAAATTATGGAATATTTGGAGCCCACCACCACCCAAACGTAGCATCTTTATCTTTATTGTTTATGTATCTGTGACAGGAAGATTAATTTTCTTTATTTTTATGGTTTAAGGGGGATGATTATGGGCAGCTTCTGAAGCTTAATAAACTTCTAAAACTTATTTCTTTTTTATTGGATAAAATACTTAAACCTGACTGACGTTTTTGATAAGGCTCAGTTTGGAAAGAGTATAAATACAATTATGTTGAGTACAAAATTTTACATTTTGTATGTATTTGCACTCTATAAATCTGTATTCATAAATACTGAAGCCTCCCCTCTTTTGAAAAATGACTAAACTCCTTTCATGGGTGAAGCCCCGGAAAAAAACTTCAAGAGGACTATACAAAGAAGAATACAATAGAATTAGGTGTACGAGTTCTTGACATTAAACAGGCTTCAAGCTTCAATGGTCAAGTCGCCTTTTTTTTAACTAGCTAGTTTTATGCACTCGGGATTTCTTACTCACTTTTCCTACCCACTGTCTATTGGCATGTGAATTGGAGCCACACATCTCTATTATGAATTGAGAAATGTATGACTCCAATTCACTGCGGGTAGAGAGTGGGTAGAAAAAGTGAGTAGAAAATCTGGGCTCAGTTCTATGATGATATGGATGTAGCCTGCACCACATAGGTACATAAGAAAACTAATAAAACAATAACTAAAATGAGGCTGCGAAGCACCATAATTAATATTGGGGCAATAGTACCCCGTGGTGTAGTTGAGACCATGAAAAAAACCTGTGGCCAATATTTTGGGCATGACAAATAATACACCGGTGGGGTTTGAACCACACTAGACCACAACCAACACTGCCTAGGTATGATTACTGTAGTGATCAATTTCACTTCTCTCTCCCCCTCCCCTTTCCCCTTCGGATAACTTTTCTTCTTCTTGATATTTTTGGGTCTGGTTTAGTGTGATCAAATCCCCAAACCAATTTAGTCAAAGAGAAATCGTTTCTGTCTGGCGACAAACTGCATTTTACCGGGTAAAAGTTTTGAATTATTTTCCCTCTCTAGCTACATTCTGGCAAGTTCTCTCCATGAAACTTTCCGGCCCTTTATTCTAAATTCAAGTATTAAGCTTGCAACTGCAACCGGGTCCTTCGTGTTTGGGAGAAAGACGAGAAACAAACAGCATTCACGGCATAACTACTAATAGTGATATTAATTTGCATCTGTACTGTGCATGATCTCAGCTGAACGATGTGGTTTCTTTGACAGTCAATAATCATGAATGATGTAGGCGCACTCGGCTAGCCTGTACGGGGCTGACACGTGTCGACTAAAGGGCACCAGCATAGGCTCGTCATGAGGACACTCATGGTTATCCGATGCGGATCAGGTGGACCCAATCGTAGGGCACCACAGGGCTCTGGCAGAACATCTCACCAGGGCCTTGTACGGTTCGCATCTGAATCATCCGAGCCCAACTACCCACTAGCAGTTCCGGCTATAAATACAAGATACCCCCCACAAGGTAAAGGATTCAAAACCTTTGTGATCTCTAGTACTCTCTCCTCTAAGGACTTAGCACTATCTAAGACCTTGTTTGTACCCCTCGGCTCCAGACTCACTGCTTACCTTGCACACATACTAATTTGGCCATCGGAGTCTTTGCCTCGGGTTCCCACCCGAGGCCTCTAACACCTCCTTCCTATTAGATTCACTACCGTGAGAGCCGTATCCGGTTCCTCTTCGGATCCCCTTCTCAGTACAAGCCCTCGACTTCTACAATATCCGAAGGAGCAATTCGCCTCGACCTCTAGCCCTTAGCCTCGACTTGTCTCCTTCGAACCCTTGAAGCTTTCGGCCTTCCTTCGAAGCTTGGGAGTGAATTTACTTTGTTGGCCTCGGCTAATCCGAGCACCAACAATTGGCATTGTATGTGGGAACCGTTGCTAAGACGATTCCCCAAAAAACACTACAAACCTAAGATCTCCTAAACTTCAGACATCATGGTACGAAGAGACATGAAACCTCAGAACTTGGTAACAAATGAGCAGTTTCAGGCGGTCCTCGACTGTCTGGAATACCTCACGCAGCGTGGAACAAGCATGCTCCCAAACAGGAGGTCCCTCCCGAGGCGACCGCCCCGCCAGGGTGTCGGATCACCAAGGCCAACGTGAGCATGTCGAGCCCCCAGCACTCGGCCTAGCCAACCCCCAACGGGCCAAGCCGACAACAACCGACCTGCCAACCCAACATAGAGAAATGTGAGGCCTCCCAGCCAAAGGAAGGAAGAGCCAGCGCGGTCCAAAGACAACCGCCAGCCTTCTAAACAACACCACCGCCACAGGAGGGAGAACCCTCGGGATGAAGGTGGGCACCTCGCCCGTCGTAGCGCCCACTCAAGGGTCGAGGGACGATGCCGTGCCTCTCCCGCACCTGACTTGGACCTTCGTGACGTCCTGAACAACCGCCACGTCAGACGAGAGGCGTATGATCCTGCCTCAGAGCATTCCAGAGTTCGTGCCGACCCTCATCATGCCCGCGAAGACAGAGACGGGTGGCAAGCTCCAGTCGACTCTCGGATTGCGGAACTACGGGCCAAGCTCGGAGCCATCAAGGACAAGCTCCACTAGATCCGAGAGAGCCGAGCTGATGCCTCGGCCAATCAAAGCAAGCTGACGGGGAGAATAGATGCCTTCCCCCAAAATATCATCTCCGAGCCCCTTTCCCAGCACTTTAAAGCTCCCGCGCTAGAGATGTACGACGGGAACTCAGACTCCAACGACCACCTGGAAAGTTTCAGAGCGTTCATGATACTTTATGGGTATTCTAACGCCTTGACGTGATAGACTTTCTAGGCCACCTTCAGGGGGCTGCCCGCTGTTGGTTCTCCAGTCTCCTGCCTCAATCAATCAGCTCGTGGGAGCAGTTTGCCAACCTATTCCTTGCCCGCTTCATCAGTAGTAGATGATGCCAAAAGAGCGTAGTCTTGTTGATGTCTATCAAGCAAAAGCAGGGAGAGAGTCTGTGGTCCTATATCGACCACTTCAAAAAGGAAGAGCTTGAGGTCCATGACCTCGACCCCATGGTCTCTATGCACGTTGCTATCAATGGGCTTCACCCCAGTTCGTCCCTGAAGTGTTCGGTTGCCAAGACCCCATTGAAGATGAAGCTAGAGTTCCTCAAGAAAGCCCAAAAGTACATTGCGGCTGAGGAGGCTTCGGCCGAGGACCACCAAGAAAGGGAGGGCGAGCGCCACAACGGGCCCCTAGAGAAGATGAGGAAGGGTGGAGACCACCATCACAACAACAACATCAGCAAGGACCACAAGAAGCCACCAGCCTCGGCCCTGGCTTACAACCAATACACGCCACTCAACTCCACCCGGACGCAGATACTGATGCAGATAATGGAGGAGAAGTTCATGAAGTGGCCTAAGAAGATGAAAAGGAACCCCAAAAGGGGAAATCCCAAGAAGTAATGCAAGTACCACCGTGGCACTGGACATGACACAGAGGACTACTATGACCTGAAAAATGAGATAGAGTCCCTCATCCAATGAGGGCACCTTAAGAAGTTCGTCAGTGGCGAGCCCGGTGCCTCATCCTCCCAGCACTAGCAGATAGACGAAGTCATCAACTTCATCGCTGGGGGCACGGCCTCGGCCCGCAAGGCCTACGCCAGGCAGCTAAACATCCAAGGGCCTGCCCCCAAAAAGACGAAACAACAAGAGACCCTCTCCTTTACAGACGAGGACTTGAAGGGGGTCATAGTCCCCCAAGATGACGCTCTGGTGATCTCGGCCGTCATCATAAACTTCGTAGTTAAGAGGATTCTCATCGACAATGGCTCCTCGACTGACATCCTCTTCTATGAAGCCTTCCAAAAGATGAAGATAGCGCCTGAGCACCTCCAGCCAGCCGATGTTCCACTAGTTGGCTTCTCCAGTAACGTGGCTAGACCGGAAGAAAAAATTACCCTACTTGTCACGGTAGGGACCGAGCCTCGGTAGGTGAAAAGGATGAACCAGTTCCTGGTTGTGAAGATCGGTTCGCCCTCCAATGCAATCATGGGGAGGCCGACCCTTCACGCGCTCAAGGTAGCCATTTCCTCGTACCACCTCGCCCTCAAGTTCCCAACCGAGCATGGCATCAGGGGCCTTCATGGGGACCAACAAGCAGCCCGTCAGTGCTATGTAGCAGCACTAAAGGGCAAGAATAAGGAAGCATTGCCACTAGAGGGCTTCGACCTCAGGGAGGAACCAGCGAGCCGAGGACCTCATCTCAGTTTCCCTGGATGAGGCCAAGCCCGAGAAGATAGTTCGTGTCGGGTCCAACCTTCCCCTAGAGAGCCTATCTGAACTGTAAGTTTCCTCAAAACTAATATCGATGTCATTGCTTGTTCCACCGCTGACATGCCCAGAATTGACCCTTCGGTCATCATTCACAGGCTGAGCGTGGACCCGAGCTCTAGGCCAGTTCAGCAAAAGAAGAGGAACTTTGCACCGGAGCGTTGGAAGGCCATAGGAGAGGAAGTTGGAAAGCTACTCAACGCCGGTTTCACCCGAGAGGTATACTACCCAAACTGGTTGTCGAATGTGATTTTGGTAAAAAAAGCTAATGGGAAATGGTTAATCTGTATTGATTTCACAAACCTTAACTGAGCTTGCCCTAAGGACAATTTTCCTTTGCTGATGATAGACCACCTCGTCGACGCCACTGTAGGGTACAAGCTACTCAGTTTCATGGATGCCTTTTCCGGATACAACCAAATAAAGATGCACCCAGAGGACGAGGACAATACATCATTCATCACCAAGCACGA